CATGCAATAATCCCCATACCTTTCTCTTATACACATCTAGATGTGTATAAGAGTGCCCCTTGAATCTGCCACTAAAATACTCATCATAAAAAAGTTTTTAAAATTATCTTTTTAGTCATAATTATGCCCGCTTATGTATTTCGTGCAAACTAACCTTCATGAAAATAATGATTTATTATCTACTGATTAGCTTGTAACGTATTCAAAATTCGAACCATGAAAAACAAATAAGATAAACTTAATACAGTCATTAATTTAGTCTCTTTGCATGTACAATACTTTCAAAATCAATCAAGAGGTTTTTGCTTTTCTCCTTTTTTTTAATTTCACTTTTGTGTAAGTAATATTGCGACTACACTATTGTGAGTGGAAATAATACCGTCTAATTTACGATCAAACAGGACTAGGGAGGGAACACACAAAACATTAGTTAGATTTGATTTCACAAACATAAAGGTGATTTACTAAATTTATCATTATCAGTGGCGGCCCCAGGAAAGCAAATTAGAAGGGGGGACAGGGAGAGACTTGCACAATTTGGGAAAGTAGATCACCATGGTTGGGGCTGAGGAAAGACAATTTATGATTATGACACCTCTAGATTGCCGGAAATGGCACTCTCAGACCTAAATTCTAATTATAATTTTACTTTGTTTTTTCCCATTTAAAAAAAATAATTTTGAAAACTTTAGGGTCGGCTCGGCCCCACTTGAATCCGCCACTGATTATTATGACGTCATTGCGCGATTGCGTCAACGTAACACTGGAGTTTGTAAACTTTTGGTAGGCCTATCACTTAATAGAAATAGATAGACATATCCGTGCCAAAGGCTGTATAATTATTGTTTAATAATATTATATATATAAAATTCAATTGACTAACTATAATTTTTTGAAATTAGGAAAACAGTAATCCTATGTATGTAGATAATATGAAACACTAGCATAACGTACGGGTCATAATAATATACAAAAGGAATAAATCGTTTATAGTAGAAATTGTGCACTTTTGAGTTTGTAAAAATGTTGGCCTAATAAGTATACACGCTTCCAATTTTAACAACGTTCAGTACATTGTTTTTAGAATAAATTTAGCCTCTGATAAAACTTAGCACCCATAAAATCGATCTAGTGGTTTTTGAGGTGGTTACGAAATGTATAAACAATTGCGTTTTTACTCGGTATTGGTCCGGAAAATACGTACCGCACTTAGAAAAGTGAACAGACTAAATTCATGAGTCATGCGTAATTGTTATTCTTCCATTCGCTTTTAAAAGTGGGGATTTAATTATAGAAGATTGGTGGAAAGTGGGGGAGGGGGACAATCGATATGATGTCCCCTACTTTGAAAAGTGGGGGGACGCGTCCCCCTGTCTCCCACCGATCGACGCCCATATCCGCAAAATATCTCCCGCCTCCAATAGCTCAACTCAAATAGGACATTTTCAAATCCAAGAATTTACGCTCAGGTCCGGGTAGTTAAAAACCAATCATACCACCAAATTGTATCAGATAGCGTACACTCTATCTACTAGTGATAAACTTCACCTTTACCCATGCAATAATCCCCATACTAATACTCGAGAAACTATTGAATTAAAACAACAATAATAATAATAATAATAATAATAATAATAATAATAATAATAATAATAATAATAATAATAATAATATTAATAATAATAATAAAACAACTTATTTATATAAGTTCATAATAAAGATAATAACGATATAAGTTCATAATAAATATAATAACGATAATTCTCACCAGCATCCCGGAATAGGAGTTCTTACTGTAAACCAGTATAGATTAACCAACTTCCAAACGTCAATATTCAAGGTGATTGGTTCGATCAGATCTCCGATCACCTCAGTTTGGAACTCCATTTCAATATTACCAGGAATATGTATTGGGTCAGGCAGTTTGAATTCCTTCACTTGGATACCTTTCGAAATGGGTCCAGATTGCCCTAAAAAAGAAAAGAAAGTCCATTGCATGTTATGATTTACCGGTACCTTTAAATAATAAACACCTCTATTTGTGTATATAGCATAATGTAGGCCTATATGTATGTATGTGTTTGTTTGTTTGTGTATGTATGTATGCGTGTATGTATGTATGTATGTTGTATGTATGTTTGTATGTATGTATGTATATATATATATATATATATAATATATATATATATAATAT